ACAATTAAAACTGTTCTAATTCTGGGGAGGGAAAGGGGGGCTATATCAGTCCTCCTCAACATTCCCTTCCTACATACGGCCATATGCCAGCAGCAAGGTGCACCATCTCCATGACCACTAAGCATCTGAAGATCTGCCAGTCTAGAGGTATTCTCTCTGTCCCCCTGAGGCACACAGAAAATTGCAGACCCAAGTACAAATCACAGAAAAGGAACGTGGCCAATTCCTGCAACTGAACAGAGGCCTGGGCTGGGGCCCACCTACAATGCACTATTCAACGGTGATCAACATTCTGCAGAGTCTGCATTAAAGAAATGTATGTGGAGCTGGCTGTGCATACAAGAAAATGTGGAGGTGCAGACAAATATACAGCAATATTATATGTAAAAGTGAATATATACAGTAATGCAAATACCTACTTTCTTTCTCTCAAATCCGAAAATATCAGCCATCTAGATGCTGCTCCTTAACGGACATTTCATAGAGTTCAGGAGCAAACAATATATCTGATTACATAAAGATCCAAAGACAATGGGTGCATAATACAAAAGAGTATATGCCCAATATAATCAGCTCTATAAACACAAAAGCATTTGGACAATAAGTCAGTTTCAACCATGAATTACGGTCTCTCTTGACCACAGTGAGGCTTAAAGGATGAAACAAGTCAATCAATGTAAGTTCAACAAATCTCCTTTTGTTTTTTTATTTGTTCATAGCACTAGGGATGGAAGCAAGGACTTTGTACATGCTAAGCATGTGCTTGAAACTGAGCTACATCCTCAGCCCAACAGAACATATTTAACAAAGGAGCCTCTGCAATTTGCCTTTCACTATTCAAAATCTAGTCCTATCATTATTTAGTGTACAGATTTTTATCTATCATAATAACCAGTTTCAAAACAAATCGACCAAAATGTCTCAAAGGTTACAAGATCTTCAAAATTTCTTCCAGACTCATCAGTTTCCTAACACAAAATTACAAATAACCTTGCAAAAGTTTGTCATTCATATTTCACCTATTATTCTTTATTAAGCCTTTTTTGGGTGGGGAGGGTGCTAGGAATCAAACTCAGGACCTTGCACTTGCCAGGCAGGCAGTGTACCACTGAGCTATATCCCTGGCCCCTATTAAGCCTTTTTAAAACAAGTCTTAGTACTTTTTTTAGAAAAACATTGATATACAAAATGAGTTATCATTTTATGAGTGGTTCATTTTCAATCCAAACCCATGAAATACCCTATACTTCAGGACCAATTCTAACAAAAATGGTAGCATCATGACTCACCCAGATCCATATCTAATTTCCTCAAAGAAATTTACATCAGAAACTGTACCATGTAGGGGCTGGGGATTTAGCTCAGCAGCAAAGCGCCTGCCTGGCAAGCGCAAGGTCGTGAGTTCGGTTCCCGGTACCGGAGAAAAACCAAAAAAAAAAAAAAAAAAAAAAGAAACTATACCATGTGAAATATACAATATTCTGATCCGGAATTTTAAATCTGCCATCACTATCTAAACCAAAACTATTACAAAAGCAACCAAGAAATCGACTACAAAAAAAATGTGCAGTCCCAGATGTGAAGACCAAGCTGTTTACAGTATTAGCCTTTTCTGCTGAGGAAAATCAGAGTTGGAACTGCCCAATTAATAGAATTCACTTCCTCATCAGTTGTAAGGATAATGTATAATAGCCAGAGAAGGCAATGGACCAATTCTACATTAGGTCACTAAAATAAGGTCTATCTATACCTTTCCATTCCCGTTCTCATTTTGTGAAGACAACGAAATACACTTTGGAATCATATCATTTTCACTTTCATACTGCAGAACACCTCTGCAACAGGAATAACCACCTTCTCTCCCAAATCTTAAACACAGAAGCTGATCAGATTAATAGGTTTGAACTTATTAATAGGTTTGGTCTACCCCTGCGTTCTTTAAATGAAGAAAACACCCCCTCTTGTGTACAGAAGTGGTAGTCTTAGGATAAAAACACATGTGGACCGAAAAACAATCATTAATATCTAGACAAAGGCAAAAAGTATGTGTCCAATGGGCCTGCATACATTTTATGTGAAAGCTTCCTTTGATTTCACCTTGTCTCTTCCTCTTCTACTGCATCAACTTAAAATCAGTATATTTTTCACTATTTGAGAAAGTACAAATTAACATTTTTTTAAAAATACAAAGCCAGATACTGTTTCTAGCCAGTAAGAACCATTAAACCACATTAGTCATTTCAACTCACGATTAGTAGTGCTCAAGGAATTCACGCCAATTTTAGTATCTGCTAAAGTAATAAAATAACAAGCAAATTTAAGTAGTATTATTTCTTTAATCAAAAGAATATCCCAAAGCCAAACATGGAAAGTATGGTGACTGCCCAGATCTAATCAATTAGGACAAGACTTAACTGAATAGACTGACCAAAATTAAAGATAGGTATTTACTCTGAAACATAAAACAGCACTTTTCAGAAGGCTATTGTTACTTGTATTCTTTGAAGTATTAGAATCCAGTTTTCTTGTATCTTTCCATTGACCCATTACTGCAGCACTTCTTCAACTGAACTCTTCAAATGAAAAGTATCCCGGCTTAATGGACTAAATCCCAATTACATAAGGTGATAGAAACTGCAGGGCACTGTATAAGCAGACTTCCAATATAATTGTTAAGATTCAGAGAAATTCTTCTCGTTAGTGTAGACTTGGTCTTTGACAACTAACCTATATATTTCAATCTAAGATATAATAGAAAAAATAAATCATTAATTCTTCCCTCATTGATAAAAATTAAAGAGTAAGAAGAGTACTTTAACCTCATCAAGAGTATCCTGCACTATTATCCATATGACTTATTCCAATCAAAACCAGAACACATTTTTTCTAAATTCATAACTACACTCTCAAAAAGATACACGTCATTCTTCAAAACTAAACTCCTAGTTACTTAATCATAGTATTCCTTATTCTAAAATGTATTCTTAAGTATAAATAGGTAATCCCTTTAAGAATAGAGGAAAATAGAATCAAACATTCAACATTATCTGACTTGAGAAAATTTGTTATTCTAAGATTTCTTTAAACTTAATTTTACTAAATTTTGTCTTCATAGTTGCCATGACAGTGTACGCCCAGCCACCCATTAACCCTCTTTCCCCAAACCTATACTGACTGCACGTACTGATAATCTCAGAGCATCATCTTCTGTGCAGAGAACTTTTCAACTAATGATTGAAGTAGGTTAGACAAAGTTCTCCTTGTGGGTTCTGTTGAGCAAAGGAAAGATTTGGGAGTAAGTTCATCAAATAGCTTTCTAGATGGGCATTGTGGCATACAGCTATATATCTAGCATTCTTGGGAGGCTGAAACAGGAAAATCACAAGTCTGAGCACAGCCTGAGTAATCCAGCAACTTTGTGAGTGCATCTCAGCATAAAGACGTGATCAAGGTGTAGCTCAGCAAGAAAGCCTTGGGTTCAAATTCAAGTACCAGAAAAAATAAAATCATCTTTCTTAGTCTTTCTTCTGTGACTGTTCTTTTTTTATCCACAATGTATACTTAACCTATGATACTATACAACTTATAATCAATACTCAGTATAATATTTTCCTCATACCTATCATTTCCAAGTTACTGTATAACTGCAATAATTGCAAAATTATAGAATGCTTACTCGGTACTATACAGATTGGCATGTGTTAACTCAATCTTCGTAACTCTGTGAAGTACAAATTATTATTATCCTTGGATTAAAAATGAGGAAACTGAGTCAAGGACAGGCTATAATGCACCCAAAAACATGTGTAATGATTAGTAGAGCTGTCATAAGATGTATCAGTCACAATAGGAAGGCAACATCATCCACACATTAGATGCTCCAAGGACAGAACTACAATAGCACCAGTGACCACCCACCTTACCTGTTCACCTGCCTTAACAACATCAGGAGCACCTTGAACCACTAAGAGAGATTAAAATCTACACCGCAATGTCCAAAGTGCCGCTCCCCAATTAAGCAGGGATGGAATACACAGAAAACATGATGAAGCAACTTCTATAGGAAAAAGCATGTGAATAACACTTTGATATGAAAGCCTAAACAAAGAACCTCCATCCAGTCAAACTGGGAGACTCTATCACCTCCCTCACCCTCATCACTGTTTTATCTTCATGCCTTACAAATCCTCAAACACTCTTCTGATCCAGAAAAATATTTGCCTACAATAATTTTGTCAAGTGACTAATATGAATCTATCTTTTCCAAGTTGGAGTCTTCCAAAGGCCTCAGTAGCCCCTGAACAAACTCATCAAAGTTCCACATTAAAAGAACTGAGAGACCCTCTGTCTCTAATACAGAGAATTACAGCAAACTTGAGAGCCTTCTCACTCAATGCCTCAATGTCTGTTATGTTGTACTACGCATGTGAACCAATTTCCAAGATGAGTGTACTTAATATGTATTATAAACATATACCGTGCCAATAAAAGAAATTTTTTAAAAAAACCACTTTTGACAAGCCTAACAATCACATCGGAGCAAGGACATCTCACAGTATACAGCTTCAGGGCAGGTATCCAACTGTTACACTTGTGATAAAACTTATCCTCCACTTTAAACACTTCTAGACAGTTGGAATTTTTGTTTCATAAACAACAAAACATGTATCACTTCAGGGGAGTCAACTCTTAAGATTTTCCTACTGGAAAGAGTGTGGAATTCAGGTATCCAGTCATCATTATCTATTCAGGTATCCAGTCACCATTATCTTTTCTATTCATGAATCTCACAAAAAACGAGGAGAAAAAAAGAACCAACCAACATGTACACATTACTCAAAAAGTTCCCAATGAAAACAACCTAACAATATCATAGCCTTCTTCACATTAATACTGTTGAGAAACACTTTTTATGTAATTTATGGTTGAATAACTCAACAGTTTCATGCCATCTGAGAACAACGAACATAAACTCTAAAGCATAAACAGAAATGAAATACCTCAAGTTCCACCAGTGCTGCAGTTACTGCATCTGTCGCCAGAGCACCAGCCTGTAGCTTCTCAATTGCCTAAAAAGCCAACAGGAGAAGTTTTACAGTTTTACTCACTGTAAAAAATCACAACTTCTCAAACATACCCATTAACTTTCCCAAGCCTTAAATAATTGTAGGAGATGTTTGAGTTATTAAAAATTGGTTACTAAGTCTACTCCATAGCTTGAGATATATGTTATTCAGATTAAAACAAGTAATGTTTATTAATTTATATCACTCACTTCCTATTATCTTCATCAAAAATAAATAAAATCTAACCACTAAGTGCAGCATGCTAAGAATTTTGTAAGTGAAACAGCTTCATTAATTACAACACAATTCAAAATAGCCACAGAAATTATATAAATTCAGTTTGGTTAAAATATCATGGCAATTCATAAAATATCATGACAATTCAGATAATTAAAATCTTAGATTAAGTTAATAATTTCACCACTCTTCCTACTCTCCCCTCCTACACCTATAACAAAAGAAAAGGTATCCCTCAGTCTCAGACACACATCGGACAGAAATACATATTTTCTGTAACAAAAATATTTTTGACATTATAATTTTTTCTATCAAAATAAACTGTATTCTTTATAATATAAACTACAGAGAATAAAAGGTCACAAAAATCACCTTGCCTTCTCAGTCATAAACTAAGAAAAATAAAGAGAAGGGAAACTGATTTCTAAATGAATTGATTTCTAAATTAACTATTAAAACTCCAAATTAACTAGCAAAGAAAAAGTTCAAAAACTAGGAATTGTATTTTTCACTTAACTTTTAAGAAGTTAATTCATTATATAAATTGAGGAGACTGATGACACAGTCCAAATGTATTAAATTTCTATGACTATAGTTCATAAAAGTAAGACATAGCAGATAGTAAAGACTTTATACTTTGGAAAAATATAAAAAAACATCTTTGAGAAGTCTTAGCTTTATTACTGTGGAGGAAAAAAACCTAAAACAAAATATTCTAAGGTACTTATGGGATTCTATTCATAAGAAAAAGCCTGAACCTCTAGTAAAGTTTAATCTTTCTTTTAAATGGTAGACTTGTATAAATGAAAAAGCAGAGACCCATGTTTAATTGACATATAGTTAACATTTTATTGGCATAAATGTTAATGGAAGGTTTGCCTATAAGCCTATATGATCAGGATCAAAATACAAAACCGTATTTCTTTTGAGTCCATCCTGCCTGCACATTAAATATTCAACAATTTAGCAAAACTTCAAAAACCAAAGGGGAGTAAAAGCACAACCAAGTACAAGGGCAAAGCTAAACTCAAGAATCACAATGAATTTACTACGATACAAAAAGCACAATGAAAGCAGAAGGATAAAGTACAAGATAATCTAAAAAAAAAAAGCACACATTTTAATTATTTTATGGTTTTTCTTCGCTTAATGGAAAGACACTGGCTGTATTTAAGCAGTTTTTCCTATTGCTACAGAGTCCAGTGCCTTTGCAAAGATTAAAAAGAGATGATGATGATATGCCCAATATTCCAAAAATACCAACTTTAATATGGAGATGGAAAGGAAAGAACTAAGCATCAGAGAATTAAAAACATAACAAAGGCAAACAAATCCCAACAAACATGAGCAAAACAGTTTTGTGGTCTAAACCAAAAGATGTTCTATAAATGGAACCTTAAAATTTTGAATTTCAAAGTAAAGTTGCTTAATGTTGAAAACTGAAGCATTTATATCATACACATTCTGTTCATACCTTCTGACAAGCTCGTTTGCATACATGTTTATATTCCTTAGCTTTGGACTCAGAATGATAACCTGCACCTACAGCAGAAAAATAAAAATGAAGTGTTAGTTATCACCTAACTAGAAAAGACCTTGCGTATGGAAGTAGTCCATACAAACTGAAGTAGTCCCCATGAAAATAAAACTATTGCCCTAGCTGTATAGTCTTTAAAAATCTCACGGCTTCTTTCTCCACTACAAGCTTTTTAATACCATACCTTATCTCCTGTTCAAAAACACTTTTCCTGCCAGCAGCCCTAGAAATAGCTTATGTCCCCAAAGAAATTTCACCACAGTCACCTTCCCTTCTCCTCTTAAGACCCTCTCTTGAGAGACTGGAGTTCTTTGTGTCTGGAGTGGACAATCCAAGGGGATGTCAGGAACAGAGTTTCTTCAAATTCTTCTCTGTTGAACATTAGCAAGCTCCTCCATTTGGGAAATTGCTACTCAGAATCCAGAATTCTGAAAAGCTGTCCTTCTGTGAAGAAGATCTGCTTCTACAAAGGACATCTGAATTACCAAACGAAGGGGTCTTGGCCTGAAGCCCCTTTATCTGCCTTATCAGTATATAGGGACAGATCCTATCAAAAATCCCTGTCCAGAGATTGCCACAAAAAGTCACATCTTCCAGTGACCATTACCTGGGATACTTTATGTGCCTAATAAGACAACATTTGTTCATGGTACCTTTTTTCATCTCCCCGTCTCATAACCTGTCTATCTCTTCCCCAAAAGCCTCAAGTCTCTATTTCCTTCTGCAGCTCAAAAAGCTACTGATGCATCCACCATCTGGCCCTTTGTGTTTCATAATCTAAGCATGGCTCCCTTTGCACGTTAATAAATGTGCTGGGATTTTTTCTTCTGTTAGTATGTGTATTGTCAGTTCCTTTCACAGACAAGAATTGTTGAAACTAAAACAGTAACTTTGTGGCTGGACCTGTAACTGGCGTGGGGAAATGAAAGCAGAACAAAGCTTGGCACCTTTGCCCTCACCTTCCATCTTTGCACTCCCTTTACATCCTTATATTTGCCCTCACTTTATATCCTTGTATTTGCTCTCACTTTTATATCATGCTCAGCTCTGCATGTAGGCATGTTAATCACTTAAGGAATGTGTGTCTAAAAACTAATAACACCACGCATGGTAGTACATCCCCTGAAATCCCAGCACTTGGTGGCTGAGGCAAAAGGATTGCCAAGTTAAAGGCCAGCTTGAGCTGCACAGTGAAACCCAGTCTCAACCAAAAACTAAATCAACAAGTAAATAATAATTAGTAATACAAGGTTTACTGGCCTGAAGTTTACCTTAATTATTTCTTTTACTTCAAGACTGAGGACACCAAGATAAGAGTAAATACACATCTTCAGGATTCGGAGAGACATTCAATTGCCGTTTCTACAACATCCTGTCTGCAGTCATTTTCCTAAGCCCACAGTCACTTCAGAATTCAGGAAAAGCAGAGCCCTGTAGGCCATCCCATGACGAAGCCACCTCTCCCCAAACAGACACATGGGAACTGGTCTGCTTCCTCAAGTGAAAAGGACCTCTCTGCAGTCACCTCACGGAACCAATCCTGAGATAATGATCACCAGACCAGTGGTGGTGAACCTACGGTGTGTATGTTATTTGCTTTTCAAGACAAAACATGTTAATATATGAGTTGTTTTTTCTAAAGTAAAACCTCAGTATTCAGGTTTAATTGTAGTGCTGGCAGTTTGTGATAAGTGGATTTTGGGTTGCAGTTTGGGCACTAATCTCTAACAGGTTTGCCATCACTGCGCCAGACCAGGATCACGTGTCCTGCCAGCTATGCAAACCCCCCAGCTGTGTCAACCCCCCAACCCCTGCCTTGTTCCTCTTTTCCACAAAATTTCTGAAGTTCCTTATCAGCCTCTGGAAGATAGATCTTGGATCTCTTTATCTGTCTTTCTCTGCGTGGCTTGATAATTAAAGCTCCTTTCTGGCCCTTCACCACTGCTTGGCTCCTTTGGAACAGATGGCCAAGGCAAGACTGTTTGCATTGCCAGAGCCAGAGTTTCTGTCCTAAAACTCCAGTGACAAAACTTCAGTGGATTTCCACAGTAGTTGTACTAGCCTAACTCCCAGTAAAGAAGGGTTCCTTTTTCCTCACAGCCCCGCCAGCATTAGTTATTAGTTGTTTTCTTGATAATAGCTATTCTTTCTAGATAGAATATCCGCAGTTTTAATTTCTCAAATGACCAGTGATGGTGAAGATTTTTTTTTTTTTTTTTTGGTACCAGGACAAAACTCAGGACCTTGTGCTTGCCAAGCAGGCACTTGTGCCACTGAACTACACCCCTGGCCCGCATTTTTTCATATATTTATTTGCCATCTGTACTTCTTCTGAGAAATGACTATTCATCTCAGATGCCCATTTTTGGATTGGCTTTTTGAATTTGAAGGGTCTGATTTATTTCAGTTCTTTATATGTTCTAGGTATTAGTCCTTTGTCTGAAGAATACCTGGCATAAATTTTTCCCCCACTCTGTGGGCTGTCTTTTCACTCTGTTGGTGATTTGCTGTGCAAAAGCTTTTTAATAAGATGAGATCCTATTGATTCTATGTGATAGTTCCTACGTGATTGGGGTATTGTTAACAAAGTCTTTGCCTACACCTATGTCTTTCAGAGTTCCACCTATTCTATCTTCCAGCAGATATAGTATTTCTGTTTTAATATTTAGATCTTTGATCCACTGGCTTTTGCTCAGTGCACAGTGAAAGATATGGGTCTAGTTTAAGTCTTCACTATGTATAAAGCCAGTTTTTCTAGCACCATTCATTATAAAGGCTCTCCTTCTTCCAGTGAATATGTTTGGTCCCTCTGTGAAAGATCAGGTGGCTGAGTGCTTCTGGAGTTGTTTCTGCATCTTCTACTCTGTTCCACTGATCTTCAGGTCTGTTTCTTCACTAGTACCATGCTGTTTTTATCACAGTAACTCTGTAATATAATTTCAAGTCAGGGATTGTGATGCCCCTCTTGCCTTTGTTGCCCAAAATTGCTTTTGCTCTTCTAGGCCTCTTTTGGTTCCAAATGAATTTTAGGATTGTTTTCTCAAGTTCTTTTTTTTTTTTTTTTTGGAACAGGGAATCGAACTCATAACCTCAGGCTTGCCAGGCAAGTGCTTATGCTGCTGAGCTACAACCCCAGCCCTGTTTTCTCTAGTTCTCTAGTTCAAGTTCCAAGCAGGGAATAGAGGAGGCCCTCACTACATGGAAATCCAACAATCTCTTAGGTTCCAAGCCTCCCATGGCAGAAATGAAACCCAATTTTCAGTGTACTTCAAGACACAAATAAGAAAGTTCAGGGTACCATCACCTAGCCGCCACTGGGGGAACTCGGATTGATGCCCTGCGCCCCGTGGTTATTGCTGGTCATGCATTAGTATGGGTCATCAGCAGCCAGCAGCCTGGAGAACTTGGACTGATACCATGCGCTCTGCAGACACTGTGAGTCATGCCTGACTTCAGAGAGCAATTACCCAGTCTCCAGGGGAACTAGGACTGGTGTCCCACACGCCACGGACATTGTGGATCACGCCTGAAGCCCCGGAAACCCCAGGAGCCTTTAGTCATCTGCGTGGGGAACTCAGACAGGTGTTCCAAGTCCCACTGACATTGTTGGTTGTGCCTGAGGCCCTAAAGAGACAGGTATGCCCCATCAGGTACCTGAGGACCTGATCCCCCACCACATGTTCCACCAACATTGTGGGTCAACCTGAGGCCTGGGCATCCTCAGTCAACCACCTGGGGACCCTGGTCCCAAAGGTCAGCACTCCATTGCCATCAGGGCACTCATCTGAGCTGTGCATTCCATAAACTGCCTGGGGATCTTGGATCTGGTGGGGCACCTCCTGCTGCCATCGTGGGACAAGCCTGGCAACTAGGAAATCTAGGGGCCCTAGAGATCGTCCAGTGAGCTGCATGGGGAGGGTGAGGCCAGCCACTTCACCTCTGACATCCACAATAACAAGACGAAGAATCAAAATGCAATCTCAGAACTCCACCCCAACCAGAACACATCCAGGAGACATCAACATAGGAGAACTGGGCTTCTCTTTCCTATGTGTATCCTCTGTCTTTCTTTCTGTTGTCTACTTGCTCTGGCTAAACTTTCAAGTACTATATTGAATGGAGGTAGTGAAAATGAACACCCTCTTCTTGTTCCTTATTTTAGAGGAGATGCTTTCAGTTTTTTTCCTATTCAATGAAATGCTGACTGTGGGTTTGTCATATATAAATTTTATTATATTTAAGTAAGATTCTTCTATACCTAGTTTCTTCATGGTCTCCATCACAAAGGTATGGTGAATTTTATCAAAGGCTTTTCTTCAATTTCTTGTGATCATTATGTGATTTTCATCTTTGAATCTGTTTATATGGTGTATTGCACTTACTTACATATATGAACTCATCCTTCCATCCCTAGGATAAAACCAACTTAACTCAGTCCTAGTGTATGCTCTTTTTAGTATGTTGTTGAGCTGGGTATGGTGGCACATGCCTGTAACCCCAGCACTTGAGAGGTGAGGCAAGAGGACTGCTATGACTTCAAGGTCAGCCTAGGCTACATAGTGAGTTCAAGGCCAGCATGGACTACAGAGCTAGACCCTGTCTCTTTAAAAAAAAAAAGTTGAATTCTGCCTGCAAGAATCTTATTGAGGATTTTTCTTTCTATGTTCATCATGGATACTGATCTGTACTTCTCTCTTTTTTTTGGTGAAATGTTTATCCAGTTTGAGTATCAGGATGATATTAGCTTTATAAAATGAATTTGGAAGTATTTTCTAAGCATTTCTCTTTCTATTTCAAGGAATAGTTTGAGGAATACTGATGTTAGTCCTTCTTTAGAAGTATGATAAAATTCAACAATTAATCCATCCAGTATTGGGATTTTCCTAATTGGAAGATACTTTGTTACTGCTTCTTTCACTTCCTTAGTTAGATTAATTCCTAAGTATTTAATTTTTCTTGATGTTATTGTGAATGAAACTGTTTTCCAAATTTCTTTTTCAGTGGGTTTACTGTTGTGGTTTTGTGTATTTGTTTTGTATCCTGTTGCTTGTTTAGTTTAAATAAGGGCCAATCAATGTTGTTTAACCTTTCAAAAATCGATTTTTGTTTCACTGGTCCTTTGAATTGTTAAGTTTCTATAGATAGTCTTCCCACTCCTTGTTGCAGCCCAGGAGGTTCATATCTGTAAGCCCATGGAAAAGTTATTGAAATTGTAATGAGTTAATTCCAATCTACCACTTGATGATTTACTGAATTCTGTTCGCCAATATTTGACTGAGTATCTTTGCATCTATGTTCATTAGGGATTGGCCTGTAGTTCTCTTTCTTGGTTGGGTCTTTCTCTGGTTTTGGTATCAGTATAATACTTGACTACAGAAATGAGTTAGGGAGAACTGCTTCCTTTTCAATTTCACTGAAGAGTTTGAGAAGAATTGGCATTAAAGCTTCTCTGAATTTCTTGTAGAATTCAACTGTGAATGCATCTAGACCTGGGCTTTTCTTTCTTGGTAGGTTTTTAATCACATTTTCAATTTCAATAATTGATATTGGGTTATTCAGGATTTTTATTTCTTTTTATTCAACTTTTGGAATTCATACTTATCTAGGAATCTGTCCATTTCTTCTGTATTTTCCATCCTATGGGAGTAAAGATTTTCAAAGCTCGTATTGATGATCTTCTGAATTTCTATAGGATCTGTAGTGATTTTACCCTTTCATTCCTTATTGCAGGAAGTTGAGCTTTTTCTTTCCTTTTCTGATAAGGTTGGCTCGAGTTTTATGAATTTTATTTATTCTTTCAAAGAACCAACTCTTTGATTCATTAATTCTGTGTAGTGTTTTCTTTCTCTCAATTGCATTAATTTCTGCCCTGATCTTTACAATTTCCTCCCTTCTTTGGGCTTTAGGTTTGACTTGCTCTTCTTTTTCTAAAAGTCTGAGGTGCAGCATTATGCTATTTATTTGTTGTCGATCTGTTTCCTCATGTGTGAGCTTACTGCTATAAACTTCCCTGTGAGGATAGCTTTCAATGCATCCCACAGATTCCAGTAAGTTTTATTTACATTTTCATTTGTTTGTAAATACTGTTTAATCTCTTCGTTAATTTTATCTGTGACCCACTGGTTGTTCAGGAGACTGTTATTTAACATCTATGTGTTTATGGAGTTTTTGTGGTTCCTTTTGTCATTAATTTCCAATTTCATTGCACTATGGTCAGATAGTATACATGGGATAATTTCAATTCCTTTGCATTCAGTTAAGCAGGTTCTATGGGTTAGTATATGGTTGGGAGGCAAGTAGTATATTGATATCAAAACCAGAGAAAGACCCAACCAAGAAAGAGAACTGCAGGCCAATCTCTAATGAACATAGATGTAAAAACATTCAAACAAATATTAGCAAACAGAATACAGCAACTCATCAAGAAAATTATACACCATGACCAAGTGGGATTCATCCAAGAATGCAGGGATGGTTCAATATTCGCAAATCAATTAATGTAATACACCATATCAACAGACCCAAAGAAAAAATCCACATGATCATCTCAATAGATGCAGAAAAAGCTTTTGACAAAGTCCAGCACTCATTCACGATAAAAACCCTACAGAAAATAGGTTAGGATGGTCTTTACCTCAATCTGATCAAAGCCATCTATGACAAACCAACAGCCAACATCATACTAAATGGACAAAAACTGAAAGCTTTCACGTTAAAATCAGGAACAAGACAAGGACGCCCACTGTCACCACTCCTATTCAACATAGTTCTGGAAACATTAGCCAGAGCAATTAGACAAGAGGGAGATATAAAAAGAATAAGGAAAGGAAAGGAAGAAGTGAAATTATCATTATTCGCAGGTGGTACTCTACATGGAAGACCCCAAAAACTACACCAACAGTCTCCTAGAATTAATAAACAAATTCAGTAGCATAGCTAGATACAAAATTAATACTCAAAAATCAATAGCATTCCTATACACAAACAATGAACACATTGAGAGATAAATTAAGGAAACCATACCTTTCATAATAGCACCCAAAAAACAGAAATACTTAGGAATCAATCTAACAAAAGAAGTGAAAGTTCTTTACACTGAAAACTACAGTACTCTGAAAAAGGAGATTGAAAGATATTCCTTGCTCATATATTGGAAGAACCAACACTGTGAAAATGGCCATACTCCCAAAATTGTTATACAGATTCAACGCAATCCCAATTAAAATACCATTAGTATACCTCACGGATCTACAGAAAACATTCCTAAAATTCATTTGAAAGCAAAAGAGACCCAGGATAGCAAAAACAATCCTGGGTAACAAAGACAAGTCAGGTGGCATCACAATCCCTGACTTGAAATTATATTACAAGGCCACTGTGATAAAATCAGCGTGGTGTTGGCAAAAACACAGACCTGAGGATCAATGGAACAAACTAGAAGGTACAGCCATAGCCACAAACACACTAAGCCAACTTATTTTTGACAAAGGCCCAAACAAGTTCTCTTTAATAAATGGTGCTAGAAAAACTGGTTCACCACAAGCCAAACACTGAATCTAAACTCATGTCTATCACCATGCACCAAACTCAAATCAAAATGGATCAAAGATTTAAATATTAAAACAAAAACACTAAATCTGAAAGGTATAAAAGATATTGTAAAAAGGAAAGAAACTCTATATCTACTTGGAAGAGAAAATCTTCAATATAAAAATCTTCAACACATGGGGTAGGTAGAGAGTTCACGAACAAAAACCAAACCACATGGGCAATACTTCAAAGAATCAACAACTGGGATCTCATCTTATTGAAAAGTTTTTGCACATCTAGAGAAAACACCAACACAGTAAAAAGAAAACCCACAAATTGGGAAAAAATTTTAGCTGACTGTCCTTCAGACAAAAGACTTCTATTTAGAACATATAAAGAACTAAAAAAAATCAGCACCCCCCAAATTTAAAGACCCAATCCAAAAATGGGCATCTGAGATGAATACACACTTCTCAGATGAAGAAATACAAATGGCAAATAAATACATGAAAAAATGGTCAACATCATTAGTCATTCAAGAAATGCAAATTAAAATAACACTGAGAGGATGCCTATCATCAAGAAATCAACCAATAACAAATGCTGGCGAGGCTATGGGTAAAATGGAACACTTCTTCACTATTGGTAAGAGTATAGACTGGTGCAACCCCTGTGGAAATCAGCCTGGAGATTCCTCAGTAAACTGGGACTAGAGATTCTACTCAACACAGCTATTTCCCTTTGGGGTATTTTTCCAGAAGAACTACAAACATCATACCACAGCAATATACGTGCACCCATGTTTATAGCTGCTCAGTTTGTAACAGATAAATCGTGGAAGCAACCCAAATGCCCATCAACTGAGGAAGGGATAAAAAAGATGTGATATTTTTACATAATGGAGTATTACTCAACTACAAAGAAAGATAAACTTTAGGCTTTCATAGGTGAATGGATGCAACTAGAGTCCATAGTCATAAGTGAAGGAAATCAGACCTGCATATGTAAATACCGTATTGTCTCACTAGTGTAGGAACCTAAAAGAGTAAATAAAATCTGAAAGGTATAACAGATATTGCGAAAGGGAAAGAAACTGCTCAAAGGCAGTGAACAACTGGGATGAGGGAAAAGAGAAAAAGAAAGAGGGAAAAAAATATGTATGTATGTATACACACACACACACACACACACACACACAGAGGATAGCTGAGAGAGTTGTACTACTGACTTCTATTGCTTTATTGAAAGGAACAGTTAATGTTTAATTGTTTGATCAATCTTACATGCCTATATTTGTTTAACTGAGTGACCAATTTGAAGATAACAATATGTAATACAAAAACCATTGTTAATTTCCTACCAACTTGTTTGAAATTCTGTATTGCTTCTATTGTTTGGGAGTTGTTTTGTTTATGTGTTTGTTAATGTGTTTTCGTTCATCTTAAAAACTTTTTAAAGAATTTAAATTAAATTTAAAAAGAGGGGCTAGGGATGTAGCTCAGTGGCATAAGTGCCTGCCTGGCAAGCGCAAGGTCGTGAGTTTGATCCCTGGTACCACAAAATAATTAATTAATTAATTAATTAATTAATTAATTAAGAAAAATCCACACCACTTTTATCCACAGAGGGCTTACCTGCATGGACTAGCACAAAGCCTCCTCGTCTCTCTTTAGGGGACTGCTTTGCTTCCTGAGGGCTTCTGGAGGGCAGCCCTTGTCCAGAACTCGTCCCCTTCTCCATGGTCATTCTCCAAAACTACCATCTTCTACTAAGGTTAGAGCATATTTCTATCGGAAAGCAACTGCATGAGAGGAGTCACCCTAGAGCAAAACAGGCAAAGTGGCATGATTTCTTTCCACAAACATCTACTTTACTTACAAAAATTCATGCAGATAATTTTCAAAAGACCCTATTTTTGGAATTATCTAATGGGGTTAAGATAAAGAACAAAACAAGGTTAAGATTTAAATCTCTGCCTACTGACAGTATTTGCTTGAAGATAAACAAAAGAACTATTGTAAAAATGACCTCGTACTAAATGCAAAGACAGCATTCTTTTAGCCACACGGAAGTAATCCTCATTTCTCCACCCTCCAAATCAAACACAAATAATGTCTGGGACATTCTGAAATCTCAAATGGTTCTGGCAACATCGCTGAACTTTTATATATGATATATAGATTTCTGCTTACTGAAATACAGAAATAAAGCAACACACACACATACACATTCCTACCTACACATGAAGAACCTAGCTCAGTCAGCTTAATGTTCCATGGCTTAATTATAAAACAAAAACATTAAGAAATTATAGGACTAAACCAAGAAATTAAAATAACACCTGCAAATAGTTGTCAGTCATTATGAAATACATTATATCTGAGGTTCTCCATAGATAAATGATGGGACACAAAATTTAATACAACAATTTCCTAGCAACTGAAGCCACAAACTTTCTTTTTTTTTTTTCTTTTTTGTGGTACAGGGAATCAAACTCATGACCTCACACTTGCCAGGCTGGCGCTTGCGCCACTGAGCTATATCCCCGGCCCACACAAACTTGATAATTTTCTTCACTATACACTACTAACTCAGAAACTTTCAACAAGTTTGGCTAAATTACAAAAACAGAATATATTTTAGACTAAACAAAACTGGATCACCTAAAAATTAATAGATTTAAAGACAATCTTATAGTGAAATGATCAAAGCCAGGCATGGTGGTACATGCCTATAATCCCAGCACTCAGGAGGCTGAGGCAGGAGGATCCTTGCAAGCTAGAGACCAGCCTGGGATACAAAGGGAGCTCAAGGCCAGCCTGAACTGCATAGCAAGACCCTGTCTCAGAAAGACAAAAAATTACCATATGTCCTATTAGTATGGTCTTAATGGAAATGATTAAAATAAAAGCAGCCACTGGCAAGAAAGAGGAAGATCCTAATGTACAGATATGAAGTGCCTATTACATTCAACCTTATTATACATTATGGATGTTATGATTTATTATTCTCTTATGCATTATAAAACATATTTTGATTGGCAAAAATCAATCCATATAAAAATTAAATATGATCCAAATGAAAATATGGATCAACAATATGTCTTAATGGAAGTAGTTAAAATAAAAGCTGCCACTGGAAAGAATGAGGAAGCTCTTGATATATAGATATAAAAAGTTCAAAATATGGCAGCACATGCCTATAATCCCAGCACACCAGAAGCTAAAAGCAGGAGGATTGTCATGAGTTCAAGATCAGCCTAGACTACTTAGTAAGTTCAAGGTCAGACTGGTCTACACAGCCCCTCCTTTTATCCTTAAAATAAAAAAAAAAAAAAAAAAAAAAAAAAAAAAAAAAAGATATAAAAGGTAAGTAAAAATTAAAAAGCATGGCAATAATTAATTCAAAGTAATTTTTTTTCTTTTTGAGACAGGGTCTCACTATGCAGTTCAGGCTGAACTTGAGCTCACTTTGTAGCCCAGGCTGGTCTCGAACTCGCAACGATCCTCCTGCCTCAGCCTCCTGAGTGCTGGAATTACAGGCATGTGCCACCACACCCTGCAAAGTTAAATTATTTTTTAAAGGCATTGTATGGATGTATATACAGCACTATACAACTAAATATATATGCAAAGTATAAATCTGGATGGACATACCAAAGGAGACCAACTCTCTCCTTGAATGACCCAGCACTCAGGAGGCTGAGGCAGGAAGATCCTTGCAGTTGAATGACCAATTGTCATGGTGAGATGGAAATTTCACAATTCGCCCTTTTGTACATTTTTAATTTGAACTATCTGAATGTGTTCCTTACAGAAATATATTATTTTACAGAAACATCACGTGGTAAGGGCCCCATCCCCATTCCTTCATCTTTCCTTTTATTAGTAGGTGTTTGCAGTACATGTTTACGTTCCTCGTGTGGAGTCGGTGCGTGTACATAACACATCTCAAGTCCTTCTGTCATCCCTCACCCCTTCCCTGCCTCTCCTTCCCTCCATCTCTTAAGCCCTTTGACCCTCTTCCTCTTTTAGAACAATTGGTCTCCACCAGAGGCCTTTTCTTTATCCCTGCCTGCAACCTTTGATTCTCCAGCTCACCTGCTCTCCTGGGAAAGCATGTCAATCTTCCTTTTTTTTTTTTCTGACAGCATCTCACTATTCTCCAGGCTGGCCTCTAACTGCTACATAGCCCAAACTGGTCTTATCATCCTGCCTCAGCCTCCCAGAGTATATACACTACCAAGACTGGCTTGATTCCTTTTTATTTTCTGTCATAAATTCTAGCCACAAATTTACTTGGTAGCCTAACCCAGATCTTCCTCACTTCTTACGTCTGTCTAAACAATCTCATTTTCCCTAAAACACCTATGATCTTCCATACTATTCCTTACTTTTCTTAATAGTATTACCTTTTTCTAACTCTTCTTAAAATCATTTTAGACTGCACCCAACTTCTCAAATCCTACAGGTTTCTCCCTTAAGCATTTAACTTTCTTTTCCTCAATCCCTGTTTAACCCATACACCTCTTAGCATATAAATGTTACAACACTTGAACTTTTCTTCCCAAATCCAAGCTATTATAAAGCAAACATCTACAAAAGGCTGCCAAAATAAATCTCATAAAGGAAAAATCCAATCAAAATACTATGACAAAAGACATAAGCAGACAACACAAAAGAAAAAATATAAAGTAGACAGCCAATACTAAAGAAAAAATAGTATCTGAAATACAAACAAAAACTGAATTTTTCTAACTAGTAATGCACTGGCACCACAAATTAATGTAACCATTTTGAACATGAATTTGTCCTTACAGTATCAAAGCCTTAAAATGTGCAATATTGTACATATGATCTTTCCAGCGATACTCTGCATATGAACGTAAGTACCAGATACTTCTAAGGGGACCTAGGAGACAGCAACAGTATAAAAGGGAAAGGTAATTTTCTAATAATCACATTTGTATTATTCATACTATGTACTAAAAACATTATTTAAATTGGTCATCTCTCAGACCAAGACGAATGCTATTAATTTCATCATCAAGGCCAGGAGGGAAACTCAGAATAAAATAGTTTTTTACTCCAGGGATCTTCATGGCACTAATTAAAGTCTAAATCTTGACTCTATGCTTCTAAAAGGTTTTTTATTTTCCTATTTCACGTGATAACACTTTTCTTTAAACCACTTAGAAAACTACCATGCGTCCTATTAGTATGGTGTTGAGGTTTTTGCACTCTTGTTTAGTCTTTCACAAGCATCTGGCCAGGCGTGGTGGCACACACCTATCCACACCTATAATTCCAGCACTTGGGAGGCTGAGGCAGGAGGACCCTTGCAAGTTTGAGACCAACCTGAGCTACAAAGTGAGCTCAAAGCCAGCCTGAACTGCATAGCAAGACCCTGTCTCAAAAAAAAAAAAAAAAAAAAAAAAAAAAAGAAAGCATCTGAAGAAGGAAGTCATGGAATTAACCCATCTTATAGCAAAAGGCTTTTAAGAAATCCAGCAGGTTTGCTGGGCATGGTGGCACACACCTGTAATCCCAACATTCTCTCAGGAGACAGACAGATGGGAACGGGATTGCCAGAGTTCAAGGCCATCCTGAACTACAAAGTAAGACCCTGCTCAAATAAAAAAAAAGAGACAGAAAAATCCAACCTATTGCATTTAGTATCATTACATTGAAATTTTTAATGCCACTTTAAATGAACTCCAAAATATAAATTCATCTTTGAATTCCATTTGTGGGATTTTTCTACCAAAACTGTAAACTCATAAATGGTTTGCACCTTTTATGCTAGCAGGTTATTAAAAAAATTTTTAAATCTGGGACTACCTAAAGTCCAACACAGAAATGGTTAAAATAGTAACTCACGTTTATGGTCCATTGATTTTTCTTTCCTCTCAGTATTGAAGGTTGAATACAGGGCCTTCACACAGAGCTAGAACCCTAGTTCCCACCCCTGCCTCTTTCTGAGACAGAGCAGCAATATCACTATGTCACTAAATTGCCTGGGCTGGACCAAACTTGGGATCCTTCTGCCTCAGCCTCCCAGGGTGCTGCTATTACAGGTGTGTGCCACCATGCCCAACTGGTCAATCAGTTTTCAACAAGGAAGCCAGGTCATTCAAGGAAGGACAGTCTTCTTGACAAATGTTGTGAAAATTACATATCCACAGGAAAAAGAATAAATTGGACTCCCACCTCATATTATATACCAAAAATTAACTCCAAACAGATCAAAAGTCTAAATATGAGTTAAAATTATAAAACTTGGCTGGGAGTGGTGCCACATGCCTATAATCCCAGCACTATGCCATAAATTCATGCCCAGCCTGGATGATAATGAAACTGTCTCAAAAAATAAAAGCTCAGGAAGAAAACTCAGGGTTTTCTCAATACTACCAAAAAAGGAAAAAAAAAAAAAAAAAAAGGAAACAAGGGCAAAAAGTGTGGCCCTCTGGATTCAGCAATGGGTTCTTAGACAACAACAAAAGCACAAGCAACCAAAGCAGGGGAAATAGGTAAACTGGAATTCATCAAAATTTTAAACTTTGTACTTCAAAGGATATCATCTAAAAAAGAGAAAAGACAACACACAAAATGGGAAAAAATACTGTAAAACATATGCTTCACAAAGGCCTGGTACAGAAAGTACACAAAGAACTCATACTTTAAAACAAGATGACTAGGCTGTGGCAGGAGGATCACTGTGAATTTGAGGCCAGCCTCCCTGACAAAGCAAGCTCAAGGCCAGCCTGAACTACATAATGAGACCCTGTTTCAAAAAGACACACACAAAAAAATGACTAAACTTAAAAATGAGCAAAGGAATTAAACAGACATCTATCTGAAGACACATAAAGGGTCATTAAGCACATGAAAAGGTGCTCAAGATTATTTGCCATCAAGGAAATGAAAACACAAATTACAATGAGCTACAATTTCACAAGCACTAAGATGGCTGTAATCAAAAGATAAATGTTAATATGGATATGGAGAACCGAAGTAGGCCGGAGATATAGCTCAGTGGCACAAGCACCTGCCTGGCAAGCACAAGGTCCTGAGTTCGATTCCCAGTATCAAAAAAAAAAAAAAAAAAGGATATGGAGAAGCAGAACCCTGACAACCTGCTGGTGGGAGCATAACATGGTGCAGTCAGTATGGAAAACATTTGATGGTTCCTCAAAAAATTCAGCAGAACAGTCACCATACAAACCAGTAATTCTACTTCTAAGGTACAATACTAAAGAGAACTAAAAGCATATCCATCTAAAAACTGGTTCAAGGATGTTTACAGAATTATTCAAAATAGCCAAGTCAGACTGAGGATTTAGCTCAGTGGAACAGCGCCTGCCTGGCAAGTGCAACGTGGTGAGTTTGATTCCTGGTACCGGAAAAAAAACAAAAGAAAAAAAAAGCCAAGTGGAAACAATATAAATGCTGCACCTACCAGCTGATGCAGGTCAAATAAAATGTAAGACATTGGCACATTACTTGTCCATAGAAAGGAATGAGGCTGGGGCATGAATAGGATCAAAATCCATTACAAACACTGAAACCCTCCAAAAACGTGTGAAACCGGAGGGGGGATGATTAATGTATGTTACATGCACATACAAATCTGCCAAAATAAAACCTACTCATCTGTATAACCAATATGCGCTAATTAAACATTTTTTGAAAAGTGGAGATAAACAAAAGTAGCTGTACAAAACATTCTCCAGTAAAACATAATTTTAAAAAAAAGACTGGGCCTGGAGATGTAACTCAGTGATAGCGTGTAACACTCTAGGTGGGTTCTAGCCAAAGCACAGCGGAAATTTTTTTAAAAAGCGGGGGAGGTGGACAAAGTACTAATAAAGTCAGGGAGGACTCTGGAAAATATTCTGCTGATTGAAAGACACCAGACACAAAAGGTTACGTTTTGTTTCCTTTAAACCATTTATGGCACGTTCATTGACACTTGTTTTCTTCTCTTTAAACCATTTAGAGGGCTGGGGATTTAGCTCAGAGGCACAGCGCCTGCCTGGCTAGCGCAACAACGTCGTGAGTTCAATTCCCGGTACCGGAAACCGCCTCCAAAAAATAAAACCATTTAGCAAACTACCATGAGTACTATTACATGATTCTATTTACTTGAAACGTCCAGAACTGGAAAATCCATAAACACATAAAGTAGTAGCAAGGTGAGGAACGGGGCAGACACTCTGATGGAGAGTAACTTAATAGAGCTGGGGTGGTGGCACACGCCTGTAATTGCAGCACTCGGAAGGCTGAGGCCGTAGGATCCTTAAGAGTTCGAGACCAGCCTGGGCTACAAAGTGAACTCAAGGCCAGCTTGAACTGCATAGGAAGACCCTATCTCAGAAAGGAAAAAAAAAAAAAAAAAGAGTAACTTCACAGATGACTTCTTTTGGAAGAGATTAAAATGTTCCGAAACTAGTCAAAAGCAATGTGTGTACAAATTTCTGAATACACCGCAATAATCACTGAAATTTACAATTCTAATGGATGAATTTTCTGGCATGTGAACTCTATCTCAGTAAGAAAGAAACAGCTGGGGATGTAGGTCTGTGGTAAAGCACGTGCCTAGGATGGGGGTGGGGGGGTAAGGGGATGGGAAGGAGGGTAAGAGGAGGGGGCAATCGACAATCCACGCAGTGGATACAACAAACACAAATTGTGCTGTATAGTTATAACCGTGTTTTACGCATAAAAATAAATAGGTTCAAGTGCAGCAGAAATTAGAAATTTTTAATGTGGATCAAAATGCTGTGTTGGTGGGACTATAGGTGCTCAATGTCTAAAATGTCTTCATTTCCAGATATTCTTTAATGACCCTTGTTTTCTGTGTGGTAGGGTGGGGCTTATTTACAGACAGGAAGGGAAATTATCAAGCGCCATGTGTACAAGCAAAACTCCCTCAGCTTATCATTCAATGATCGGAGGCACGTGGTCCACAATATACCTTTTTTCCCTTCCCCTACAGAAACAAGTCAAGTTGAACTCCATTCTTCCGGAAATAGATGCCTCTACTTCCCCCTCCTCTCCACCTACTCCATCTACTCCGTCCTTCCCTCCTCGTCTGCCTGAGCAGTAATCTGACGTCCCGCGGGACCCCACCCCGGCCTCCACGACACTAAAAGGGGCTGCTCCGACCCCAGCCCGCCCCTCAGGACTCGGGCGCATCCTCCCGGAGCTCTGCGACCTCGGGGACTCCGAGACGCCGCCAGCCTGCGACCTCGGAGTCGCCGAAGCACTGCGCGAAGTCCGCGGTCACCGTCTCCGCAGGACAGGCGCCGCGGCCGCCAAGCCCGAGGCGAGGCTGGGACGGGGCCAGACGCAGCCCCACGCGCGACCGAGACCGGGGCCGAGGGCTGTCCTGGGCCCCTTCTTCTAGCCCAGGCCAGGGGGCGTCCCGCGCGTCGCCCCCTCCCGGTCCGGAAGGAGATGTCCCAGCGAGCCAGAGAGACCCACACAGAGACAGAGGCGCAGCGGCGGCTGTGGCGCGGACAGTGTGAGAAACAGGGACACTCACCCGCGTCAGCCCAGAGCCCTCACTGCACCGGAAGGAGTCACCCGCCCGTTGCCAGGGTGAGGAAGCTGGAGTGACGTGGAGTGTTTCCATTGGTCTCCCGGGGATCACGTTACGGGAAGTGAACGCCCACGCGCGGTTCGGATTCTGCCCCGTGGTCCACGGCGACTCGCCTGGGGTCCCAAGTGCAGCCTTGAATCTGCTTTTGGTCTCGGGTTTGGTTGTTTTTTTGGTTTGTTTTGGTTTGGTTTGATTGTTTGTCTGTTTGGAGCTTCGCAGGCGCCGTAGCCTTTCTCAGCCCTAGCCCACGGGGCAGTTGTCCTGCAGGCAGTCTGTGTATCTGATCTGAATGGTTGGCTGATTGCGCCGAGCAGTGATATTAAACTAGCCATCCTTAATTGAGCTGTTTTAGAGCTCACTGGCCTTCAGTGCAGCCTCCCTACACAGTAGGGAAAACTAGAATTTTGCCTAGATTGCTTATGAGAAGTGAGAGTCAGCATAGCCCTACGGTGAAGGAGAGTGTGAGCGGCCCTGCTCTCACTGTCTAGGATCTAAAACCAAGGCCCGGTACCGTTTGCGTGGTGTTTCCTTGTAATCATTTTTTTCTTTTTTCTTTTCTGGGACAAGGTCTCCCTATGCAGTTCAGGCTGGCCTTGAGCTCACGTTGTAGCCCTGGCTCGCAGCGATCCTCCTGCCTCAGCCTCCCAAGTGCTGGGAGTACAGGCTTGCTCCATTGTGCCCGGCACCTTGTAACCATTTAACACGTAAGCACCTGTAAGCCTGTCTCCATGAAGAGATTGGAAAAAGTAGAGCAATGTGAGTTGAGTGAGCCTTACCTTAAATGTCTGGGGCCAGAAATATTTCAGATTTCATATTTTGTCTGATTTTAGAATATCTGATATAGCTCAGTGGCACAAGCGCATGCCTGGCAAGCGCAAGGTCCTGAGTCCCATTCCCTGTACCAAAAAAAAAAAAAAAAAAAAAAAAATTTGAATATGTATAATGAGCAATCTTGCGAATAGGACCAAGCTCCAATGTTACACAATAGATTTAATAATTTTGTGCATGAAACAGTTTCAAAATGGCATCATGTTGGTGTTTAAAAGTTTCAGATTCAGGAGTATTTTAGATTTTTGGATTAGGAATGCCCAATGTATATTTTGCTAAGTGAAGTCTGTTAGTTAAAGAGTGACGACCAGGTAAAGAACACAGCCAGACTGCATTAAGGGTTTGGGGCAGGATCTCTGGAGTAACTACAAAGGCACAGTTATTTCTCTACTCAGTTCACTCAAAATATTACATATGAACCGAATCTCACTGAGGAAAAAAAAAATCTGGTTCCTCCCTCTTCTTGTTCCCACCTATAACAAACCTCAAGTAGTAACCAACTGAAAAATTGCCACCCTTATCTCTGAGCTTTCCCCCATTTGTTGTTCCTGGAAGACTTTCCATCAGCTTTTTTTCTCCTCATTAATCCCTAAAATGTCTATAGTATGGTGTTAGGTGTTACGAGTTATCAAACAGTGATTTTAAGAACGGAAGGATGTGCATAGGTTATGCCATTCTATGTAAGGCAATTAAGCATCCTTAAATTTTGGTGTCTGCGGGGGTGGAGAGAGTGATCCTGAAATGAATTGCTCACAGAGACCTTAACACTTGAGTCAAGTTGCCTGATAGTCATATGGTTTATTTGTTTTCAGTTACTGTGTAACAAGCTCCTGCAAATTTAGCTGCTTAAAGCAACATAAATTTCGCCTTTCACAGGTTCTGTGGCTCAAGCATCCAAATCTCTGGTCATGTCCTACAGGTATGCAACCGAGTATGTCAGGCAGGGCTCCTGTCTTACCAGGTACTGAAATTCATTGTCCAGCTCATGGAGGTGGTTGTCAGAACTCAACACCTGGTAGGTTTCACCTTCTTCAAGGTCAGCAGGCCTGCCGCACTTCGCACTTTCTCAAGGACTGGGTTAAATCAGGCCTCCCCAAGGTACTCGCTTTGTTTGTTTGTTTGTTTGTTTGTTTGTTTTTACTAGAGACTGTGAACCCAGGGCCTTTGTACTATGTCCCTAGTCCTTTTTTATCTTTATTTTAAGATGGAGTCCCTAAGCCAATGAATTGCCAGGCTCAGCTCAAACTCAAAATCTTCCTGCCTCAACCTCCCACAAACTAGAATTACAGGCATGTTCCACCATGCCTGGCATACCCTCCCTTTTGATAACTACAGAGTCAATGATTTTCGGTTCCCGGTACCGGAGAAAAACCAAAACCAAAAAAAAAACAAAAAAAACAGAGTCAATGATTTGTAGCCAGTTTTCAGCAGTGATAGCCATTACATTCACAATTCTTAACCATACTCAAGGGGAGAGGTTCATGTGGCGTGTGTGTACACACCTGGGATAGAAATTATCTTTCATCCTGCCACTTGGATCCTGCCACATGGAGACACAATGGCAGGCAGCTGTTACTTTGCCTGCCCAGCATAAAGGCCTCCTTATTCTAAGGGGCTTCACTGTACTTCAGCTGCTGTTGCTCACAACTTATATCCAGCATTAGCAGGAATGTCAACCAGGATACTCCACCCTTGCCTCACCAAGGGGTGGTCAGGTGACTCATGTATGCCAGACCTCCTCCTTGCCATCATTTGAACCTTGACAGGAGATAAGAGACTAGACAGAGGTAAACTGGCCAGCCAATTGGACAGGTTGTATCAAAGGTCATAAAAATCTGCAGCTCAAAGGTTGAGTGAGATGTTTTCTAAAGAGAGTGTTCTAGGCAGCTGAGTTAGATAGAAATATTATAGGCAGTCAGACAGGGCCAGGCCCTCAAAGGAGCCAGTATGGAAGGCGAGATACCTTCTTGCAAATGGAGAGGTGGTACTTGATGTCAGATCTGAAGACAAAAGATTAAACAAACACACCCACATACCTCCCTGGAGATGGACCTTAGGGATTGATATTCTAAGTAGGTAGCAATCCCCTTGGAGAGTCACTGACCCAACTCCCTACAGGAAAAGCCCCTGTTCTGTATTCAGACCCACTTGTTAAGTGACTTGCTTCCTCATTTGATCACAGTTTAATCAATTTTACCTGAACAATTCTCATTGGCTGACCATAGTTTTGTCCCACCTCATGTCCACCTTGTGATTTCCCATTTTTCCCCTACCTTGGACAGGAACTTGACCCAGATACTTTTCAGGTTGGAAGTTTTCCTCCCCTGTATCAAGAGGACATGCACAGCCGGGCATGGTGGCGCACGCCTGTAATCCCAGCCCTCAGGAGGCTGAGGCAGGAGGATCGTTGTGAGTTCGAGACCAGCCTGGGCTACAAAGTAAGCTCAAGTCCAGCCTAAACTGCATAGTGAGACCCTGTCTCAAAAAAAAAAAAAAAAAAAAAAAAAAAGGGACATGCACAGAATACAGGACCCAAAGAAACTCCATGACTACTGAATACTGTAGATCCATCAGAAAAGTGCTATTTTCAGCCCTTCACTTGAAGCTGGTGCTATTTCCAGGACCATTTTAAAAATGGGAAGGGGACCAAGAGATGGAGGGGAGGCGGGGGAAGGAAAAGAGATGAAGAAAGGAATGAAGCTGTGTTATGTACAGGTACCAACTCCTCGTGAGGAATGTAATCATTCTATACTGCAAACATACTAGCAAAAATTTTAAATAGTAAATAAATAAAAGAAGGTATGGTTTTCAATCCTTCATTTACATGTGTCAAGAAGCCAAATGAAGTTTTGAATAGGAAAGTTTGCATCTGGCATGACACCAAGTGAGTTTTCGTAGTTGTTTTTTTTTTTTCTTTTTTTGTTTTTTTCCAGTACCGGAAATCAAACTCACGACCTCGTGCTTGCCTGGCAGGCGCTGTGCCACTGAGCTAAATCCCCAGCCCCCATGAGTTTTTGATGGAACAAGTATCACAGTGCCTTATTTGCATGAGAGGAAAGCCGACCCGGGAATTTTGGCTATGAAAGACCTTTTCCCCCTTATCCTCAGAGCCATTGTGAGCTGTTTAACCAGCTTTCTCTCGCCCTACAGAGCATACTTTTCCGCCTTCAATATATGAACAACTTCATTACCTTTTCTATTTGTCTTGTCTGATATTTTGATTGGAGCACCAAGCAACTAAAAAGAAGTCCCCAGGACCATTCATCCAGTAACAACAGGAGTTATGCAAAGAGTATAAGCAGTTGATATTCATCCAGCCCAGCTCTCAGATTCTGAATTTCTACTCCAGCACCTTTTTCCAAAGCTTGCTTCTTTACTTTCTCATGGAATTATATAAGATACTCCCTACACTTCCAACAAATTTCTTTCTTCCATAATCTTTAAAACTTTTAGGGCTGGGCATGGTGATGCACACCTGTGATCCTTGCTCTCTGGGAAGCTGAGGCAGGAAGATCACAAATTAGAGCCCAGCCTGGGCAGTTTAGCAACTTAGATGTTGTCTCAAGATAAAAAAAATTATTTTAAAGTTGGGAGGGGCTGGGGATATAGCTCAGTGGGAAGGCCCTAAGTTTAACCCCAGTACTGAAAAAAGGGTGAAAAAACCCTTTTAGCAAGATAAGCCAGTGATTACTCAACTCGTATCTCATGCCCTAATGATAAAATACTGTCCTTGGAGCTCTGACAAAGATTGTAAGATTAAAGGTATCCTACCTACCACTTCTGAGTTGGTTGTTTTGTTTGTTTTGCAGTACTGGGAGTTGACCTCAGGGCCTTCACACCAAGCTACATTCCCAGCCCTTTTTTATTTGAGTCTTGCTAAATTGTCCAGGATGGGCTCAACCTTGCAATCCTCCTGACTCAGCCTCCTAGAGTCCTGGGATTATAGGTGCACCACCATGCCCCTGACCATCTGTGTATTCATCCTCTTATCTGCCAAGTACCTAGCCAGCTACGTCATCATCTCTCAGTCCCAGGGCAATATAAAAGTGTTTCCTGAACAGGAAACTCTCAGTCTTTCTCTGCATTCTCATCACTTGTACCGTAATATGTGACTAGTCTCCCTTTTCTCACAAAAGTAAGACTTTCGTATAAAAAGAGTCGTTAGTGAGACTCACTGAACCACG